GTAGTTCTCTTACTACATTAATGTAAACCTCTATTAAGTCATATGTAGCTTATAAGGAGCATAGACTACATGCAATTCAGGTAGCCTCATTTTTCCTAAGTTACTGTAAAAAAAAGGTTCTTGCATCAAGTGTCCAAAGGGTGTTGACATTGTCCTAGACTTTGAACAGTACTGCAGCATCCCCAAATCTATGTGAATTTTCACACTTGACATGGACAATTGTAAACCTCACTAATACTGGGTTTGAGCTTCCATATATGTTGGCCATTTCTGAAGAATCACTGGGACAGTCTGAAAATCTCAGCAGGCTGGAGCCTCATCCATCCCACTTTCCAGCCTGCGCTTAAGAGGAATATTGAATTAAATATTTCTAGAAAAACTACACATTTTCACTGTAGATTCCCTGCATTTATTATACTTGGCCATAGAATAGGATCAACATGAGTTTGTGTGCATGTTTATCATGGTGTATTTTCATGTAGTTTTGTGGAAAAGTGTACATGGGAGAACCTAAAGTTTTATACAATATAAACATGGAGAAATCTGTAGACTATGGATAACTTGTCACTGATCTGAAAATGCCACATACATCCCATAATATACACAATGTAGTCACAGTCTGATAAACGCTATTAAATCCCCTCACTGGGTCTGATGTGCCTCAGTTGCGGATAGGGTTCCTTAATAAGGAAACCAGAAGTGCATCCTTCCAACGTATGGTACTCTGCTCTGAAGTCATCTACTCTCAGAGTTGCTGCAGGTCAGCAGAACGTAATTCCGCTTACCAAAGGGAGATCTTCAATTCCTTAATAAGGAATCCAGTTAGAAATTGCTGCATACAGGACTCCAATATTTTGGATAGTGTCTAGTTTTTGACTAAAATTCACCCCCATCCTCCCATGTGTATCCATATGATGAATGGAAATACTGATCCAGGCAATGTTCCACATTTTGTTCATGACCTGTTCTGCTTGTTTTTGAAGGGAAAGGGAGAGGGAGATACTAATATGCATCTGCTCATTTAGGAAGTAAAATTAAGAAAGAAATTTGGTGAGGACTGAATTAGTGCTGAGAGGGGAACATGAGCAGTCCCATAGGCAAGACATTTTCAGTAGATTATTAAACTGTGGAGTTTATATTTAATTTATACATTATATAGCATTAAGTAGATGGGTTTAAACAGGTTAAGATGACAGAACAGATGAACCTTGTGTTGTTGTGTGAGGCTTGCTGGACATGGCTCAAATACCAGGGTAAGGCAGGCATTTTTCCAGAACACATCTCCAGCTGCATTTACTTGAGCTCCACGTTACTGAACCTCAGGAACAGCAGGAGAGAGGTGGAGAGGTTTCTGCCAAGGAACAACAGGTGGTCACCCCACAGACAAAGTGTTACAGGATAAGGACGAGACTGAGAGGACCATAGACACAGTGCAGGGGTCTGCTGAAAACACTGCCTTGGCAAATAAGTATTCAATGCTGACTCAGGCGAGGGCGGGTACGAGCACCACCAAGGCACTGGGGAAAAAGTTGTTGCCCAAAGGGAGTGACTGTCAATTATGAAACTGTAACCCCAAATGTTGTGTTGCCTCACAGAGACCAGATCTGCAATGCAAGTGATCAGCTCAAAGTTAAGTTACATATTGGAACTAATGATGTAAAGAAATGGATTTGGGTACCCTTGTTATAGGAAGGATAGAGAAGCAATGGAAAGGATGCCATATAGATTCACTAGGATGGTACCAGAGACAGAGAGAGGGGTCTTGTTATGGGGAGATACTTAATTTAGACCTTGTTTTCAAAGTTAAGGTTCAGGGGTTTCCCTGATTGACATCTTCAAAGATTTTAAAACTTGCATTTATGTAGCAGCCTTGACTCAAGGGAATGTCCCAGAGCCCTTGACAGTGGAGGAGCAATTGATTATTTCTGATGGATGGCGAGTCAGTAATGAGTCGGCACAAATTAAAGTGATCACAAAAAGAATTTAAATGGGAGGTTAGAAAAAACTACACAATTGGAATGTGGAACTGTATACAACCAAATCCTACTTGAGGGAGAGTACATACATTTGTTAGACAAATCCTTATTAGAGAGTGATGGGGAGCTGGCAGGCAAGTGAGATTAGATGCGATGGTTCATGTGGAGAAAAACACCAACGACAACTTGATGGGCCAAATGGCCAGCTTCTGTGCAATAACATTATACAATTTTATGTAACATGCCTCCTACATGATATTACAAAAGACACAATACAATGGGGTCTAAAATGCTGGAGCTGAAACCTGGATTTGTAAAGGATCATAAATCCTGTATCGAATGGTCCCAGTAGGCTAACGTACGGCATGTCCACCTGGGGTAACTATGCTCCAAGTGGCTGGTGTGACACTTGTGCAGTCACTGGCAGGATTCGATCTTTATGATTATTTGCAAATGCCATGTTCTTTGCCACACATGCTTTTTTTTAAGTGCTTTTTTTTAAAAAGAAAAAACTGTGAGCAACTTATTTTAAAAGGAACAAAACCCTTTTTACTGTCCTCTACGAAGGTCTTTGTTAAAAGTACTTCATCAGCTGAAACAGATGGTAATTACAGTCATAAAACGTATACTAAAGGAACAGAATGCCCCTAAAAAGTTGAGTTAACATTCAATTTTCATACAAACCATTTACATCCAAAGCCACTTATAAAGTACCAACAGCTGGTTTTAATGGATCAGGAAAATGAAATATATATATATAAAAAATAATATAACATTTCATTAGGTAAATAATCAGACAAATACAACAAAAGGAAGCTTTGCAAAAAACCTCAATGTGCGCTCTTAAACTCAATAACCTTTGCCTCAATATTGTTATTTTTATTTAAATGGCCTTGAAAATCACCAGCAGGGCAAATTATTCGCAAACACAGTCGGACGTGTATAAACATTTAGAAAATCACTCTACCAATTGGGTTCAGGAACCAAAGACACAGGATAGTCTGATACCAATTCTAAGCCTACTTATTTTGCAATGAAGCACATTATCTCCATCACTATTACCTCCAACAGCAAAATTAAATTTGTAAGGCATCTTTCACATTGGAAAAACGTCCCAAGGCACTGAACAGTCGGGGATCAGGACCCGAGCGTGGCGGGGCAGGGTTGGGGTGAGGAAGGGCAGAGAGGTAGAAAGGCGGCTGAAGGCACAGTCGAAAAGGAGGGTCTTGAGTCTTGCTTTGAAGGAGGCAAGGGAGGGAACATGGCAAAGGGATTGTGGGATGGAGTTCCAGAGGGTAGGGGCAGAGAGGGTGAAAGCCCGGCCGCTGATGGTAGGGTGGGAGACCTGGAGCAGGCTGGAGCCTGCTGAGCGGGAGGAGTGGTCAGGTTGATAAGGGGTTAGCAGGTCAGAGAGGTAGGAGGGGGCAAGGCCATGGAGGGCGTTGAAAGTGAGGACTAGGATTTTGAATTCTATCCTCTGAGGGATGGGGAGCCAGTGGAGCCGGGCGAGGGTGGGGGTGATGGGGTCATGGACCTAGTGCAGGAGGAAACATGAATTGCAGAGTTCTGGATGATTTGCAGCTTGTGGAGGGAAGATTTGGGGAGGCCGACAAAAGGGGAGTTTCCGTAGTTAAGCTTTGAGGTGACGAATGCATGTATGAGGGTTTAGGCGCTGACACCATCAGCATCCAAGGCTGCACTCTCCACCTCTCAAAGCAGTCAGGAACCTCGGCGTTTTGTTCGACCCTGAGCTGTCCTTTCTCCCTCACATCCGCACCACAACTGGCACCGCCTTCCATCACCTCCGGAACATCGCCAGACTACGGCATTACCTCACCCCTCACGCTGCTGAAACCCTGGTTCACGCCTTTGTCACCTCAAGGCTGGACTACGGGAACTCTCTCCTCGCCGGCCTTCCCGCACCTCCCTCCACACTGCAGGTCATTCAGAACTCTGCAGCTCGTGTACTGTCCCGCACCAGGCTTCGGGATCACATCACTCCCACCCGCGCTCGCCTCCACTGGCTCCCCATCCCCCAGAGGATCGAATTCAAGATCCTCATCCTCACCTACAAGGCCATTCACGGCCTCGCTCCCTCCTACCTCTCCGACCTACTATCCCCCTACCTACCTGCCCGTACCCTCCGTTCCTCTGGCTCCGGTCTGCTCCACATCCCCCGCCCCAACCGCCCTACCATCGGTGGCCGGGCCTTCAGCCTCTCAGCCCCGAGGTTCTGGAACTCTATCCCCCAGTGCCTTCGCCGCCTCCTCCCTTTCCTCCTTCAAGGCCGGTCTCAAAACCTTTCTCTTTGACCGTACCTTCAGCTCCCCTCTCGACTCTCTACCCCCTCCTCGCTCCCTCCCTTCCCTCCCCTCACCCTGACCATTTCCCCCCTGCTCGGGTCATGACCCAACTGTGCAGCGCCTTGGGACGTCCTCCTGACGTGAAAGGCGCTTTATAAATGGAATCTTGTTGTTGTTGTTGGCGGCCTGAGTGGTGAGGAAATAGCGGAGTCGGGCAATGGTGCGGAGGTGGGGGAAGGCAGAACGGGTCATGGCACAGATATGGGGGAGAAAGGATAGCTGAGGGACGAACAAGTCGATCAGGTTCCTGACTGGCTTGGAGAGGTGGAGTGTGAATCTGTGGATGCTGATGCTGCCAGTGCCTGATGTACTGGCGTGAGCAAATCAGGATGGCCTCGGTCTTGCTGACATTCAACTGTACAAAGTTGGTTCTCATCCAAGACTTGACATCAGACAGGCATTCTGTCATGATGTCAGTTGTCCTGGAGTCCAAGGTGGAGGCAGAGAGGTGGTGTGTTTCATATGGTGGTGATGATAGAGGGGAAAACAAGTTCGAATATGTGGAGGGAGGAATGGGTATGGGTCGGAGTGTGATGGGGAGAGAAGGGGAGGGAGTGGCAGTTGGGAGGGCGGAGGCAGTTGAACGGATCCAGACTGCATTCCTCATTACACCGTGCTTTACAAACATGTGCTTGAATGTACAAAATATGACCCTGGTTGCTTCACTAAAACTGATTTATTGAACACACAAAGACTTTATAAACAGCCAATCACAGAACCCTCCCACATCCTTTAGCCCCAAGCTGAATGATGTTTTCAGTTGGAAACTCTATATTTTTAAAATTTAGGCTTGCATACAGTTGGTTATGTGGATTTCCAATTAAACTGTTCTTCCTTCCTTTCCTCTCTTCTCCCACCACCCCACCTTTTGTACTTTTAACATCTAAATGAGTATCACCACGGTGACAAAGTGCATGTAGCAGTGAGTACACACACATTATAAAATCAACAATAAGTCATAGAAATATTACACCTAGGACACAAAGCACAGCTGCTAAGATGACTGGAGAGTTTCCATTGTAACAGAAATCACACGCTAGAGTGCCCACCAAGGTGCACAAACACATACATTATATCCAATACAATCCTTACTCTTTTTTCACATCCGTATAAAATGACATGGGTCATCATTTTCTACAATGTGCTTATTTTCCGCTCATAGCCCTTTATAATCACGGAAAATATGACAATACTGTTAGCTTACTCCCAGTTTCAGTTGTGCTCTTTCCTTCATGTTACATTCACGTTGTCTTTTATGAAATGCTGGTAGGTTGAAGTCTGTCCTCATTAGCAGATGGAGCACTGCTGCAATTGTAACCTTATATTTCAGCCTTTGGTTTCGGGTGGGTGAATTAGAAGCAAATCTTCAAGCTGGAGAGCACGAAAAATAGAAGAGCAGCTTTTACCATTTGTAGAAACAGGAGACATTTCAACCACGTCAGAGATTCCAAGCAGCTCATCTTGAAGAATCGATCCATGAACGAGCATCGCACACAGATCAGTCGGAGCTTCCATATTTCGCTGATGTAGTATTTCTCACAGGAGAAAGTCACCATCTACCAACCTGACGTCATTCTGGGTGAGAATGTCCAGAGTTCACTTGAAAGCAGAAATTTGCAAAGCCTTTTCAATACATTCTGAGGCACTTTTCTTGAGCTGATTATGATAAAGAGACTTATGCCACTGGAATGATCACATAATGCAAAACTAACTGCAGAAATGCCCTTTGGTATACACCGGTGTCTACAAATTGATCAATTATCTGACAGGACTTAACTAATAGCAGCAATGCCTTTTTAACTTTAAGAAGAATTGTAAACTTTAAATAAAAATTAAACAAATCTTTATTAAGCGTTTATAGAACACTAGGCGGAAAATCCATTTTCTGGATTTCTTTTTTAAAAAAAAGCTCTCGCCTACAACAGCAACAACATCTTAAGTAACATTAAATGAACTTTTTTTCCACAGAACAGCTAGAAACATTAAATATGCTTTCATAAAATAACCTTTAGAATCTGGTGCAGTCAGAATAGACACTGGGAAGTCAATTTAGCTGTCTTATTCAGTGTCAACAATTGGTAACAAAAGCAAGGTTACCTGAGCAATTGTTTATTTGTATGTGTTTGGTTCTTTAAGTGCCAATATAGGCTCAAACTGATGAACGTCACTGTTTTTTCTCCTGCTTTTTCCAACATTCGTGTCCCACCTGATTCAGTATAGAAATACAGTCCATCTCAACCCAAGTGCTCAGGTCACAATAACAAATATATAACAAATATGCCTCAAACAACTTCCTACTGATCAGTTGCAAGACTAATAAAATCAGAAATAAAGCGTCTTTTGCTCAGCATCACGCTCTTCAAGACTTTCTGTATAATGGCCAAGTCTTGGATGTCACGGATCATTCCCAAAGTAATATACAAAAATTAAATGAAAATGCAGCACAAACACCCCACCCACACCTTCGTTGAGGGGCTGTCAGTTAACATGGCTACTTGGCTGCAGCTCCCGCCATTTGATATCTTAATCAAGTTAAGTCCTATATCATGCACTGTATACAGCACATGGCTGTACTATAGCAAGCACTATCATGCTGCATATAGTACAAATGCAAGGATTATTATTTACATGGCTGTTCAGACAGCATTACAAAAGGTGATGGGAGTGAGTGGCACGACAGGGGCAGCCTTGGAATCCTGACGATATTTACAGATCTGTGGTTTGATGGATTGACAAAATGTAAAAAATGTAAATGTAAAATCCCCACTCCTTGTCGCACTGCACCACTGTCTTGTAGCCACACACCATGAAACTAGCTAGTATCAGAACAGTTCACCTCCCGTGAAATGTACTCTTAAAATTTGCTTCACACGAACATTGTCAACAGACAACTCAACACAAACCCCTTCTCCTCCCCAAAAAAACACTCCTGGGATATCTGAATGAATATACAGGATATTTCTACGGCTGATGAATTTGGTCCCATTAGATTTAAAACAACCAGTCTGTAACATGAAAGCAGCCTAAGAACACATTTACAAGCAGCTCTAAAAGAAACTCAGAATATTGATTATTAATACTGGTGGGCCAGATAAGCAATTGTTACACAAGTCACCACAGCTGCAAAAGCCAAGGCAGTCCAAAGATGTGGCAACGGGATGTCAAAGAAGCGATGCGCGTTGTTCCCATAAAGTTCCACAAAGGCATCCTGTAAATAAAAAGAGAGAGTGAGTGAAGAAATGGTTCTGTACCCAAACCCAAATCAAGTCGACAGTTCAGTAACTGTGTGATTAAGCTGTGGGAGAGCAATGAAACAGTGATGAAACTTGTCACATGTTAATCTATGCCTAAAATCTCAGTAAATGGCTACTGTAACAGCTGACTGACATTGGACACAGATATTATGACAATTTCCAGATGCTCCAGTAGTTCCTCAATGTAAAGCCATTCTGCCTCTCACAGTATAAAGCACTCACAGCCAGATAAATATGGCTTCAACCTGCCCTGAAACCCACCCAAAATCTAATAATAATAATCCTTGCATTTGATATAGACCTTATCAAGGCCTTCAAGATATCTCAAAGCACTTCACAGAATATACTGTAACGTGAATTGACTGTATTTTGTGGGCGAAACGCAGCAGCCAATTTCGCACAGCAGTGTTCCACAAACAGTCATGGATTGTTTGACCAAATTATTATTATTATTAAGGGATTATTACCCCTGGGAAAGCGATCCGCCAATCGTCTAACAACTGGGTTCCTACTTACTGCTAGGTAAACAGAGACGTGTGGAGTAAGGAAACTTGTCCAACGTTTCATCCTGCCCAGGAATCGAACTCAGGTCCTCTCACTTGCGAGGCGAGTGCTCTAACCACTAAGGTAAGGACACTAAGCTCCATTATGAAAGACATTGCATTCTACTTAAACATGTTGAAAATATAAGACTAAAACTACATACTTAGGATGTTCTTGCCTACATGTGGGAGAAGGGAATGGAGGGGCATGGGAGGGAGGGGATTGGGAGGTTTGGCCGAATGGTCTGTTCCCATTTTGAACGTTCTATGAAATTCTGTGTAATGTGCAATACATCTCAGAACCAGCGGAGGGCGTAGTATATCATGAATAAAATCTTCCAGATTTTTAATCATAAGGAAGATTTGGTTGAAAAAGACCCTTTGGCCCATTAGATCTCAGCCTCCTAGGATAGTCATCCTACTGAGCTGCCATTGCCACAATACATGATTCTTGGAGCCCAGCATCCAGACCTCAACTCCTCTTCCTGGTAACCTCTGGGATGCTACCCCGGTGAAGGGCGCTATATATATGCAAGTAGTTGTTGTTGTAACCCATTCCCGTCTCTAATTATAAGCCTATTAGACAGACTATTTGTGAGTTCTTGGAAACTGAATGTCATTTCTCCATTTTAATAAATATGGGATGTACATACAGCATTTAAAGAAATAAATCTTGAACAACATGATGGAATTTGTAACTTCCATTAAAATAACCCCCACCCCCCTCAAACGTACTGAACAATTTGTGGGCTTTATATTATCAAAGAGGTTTGTGCAGGATAAAGTACAGACAAAGTAGTAGGGGGGAAGGGGGAGGGCAAGCAGGAGAGAGAGAGAGAGAGAGAGTACAAGTACAGCCCACAGTGGCAAGAGAAACAGAGGGCACAGCCCAGAACGGTGGTGAAAGAAGCGAGAGATAAGTCGTGACTGATCAGATGGTTGCTATGCACTGCCCACAAGCCACAGTCTTTCCTGATAGCCTGACGGGATGTCAGTGGCAACCTGAAGCCAGAAGCCATTGTTATTCCGTGGTCCAGTATAAGTCTAAAGCTCCAAAGCAGCATGTTATAATGTGCTCAATCTTTACATTGTCAATTCAGACAGTATAGGAGATAATAATTCAAGCAGTTCAGGACTCAAGATTTGATGATTGATGCATTTTAAGACATCAGAAATGATTAAAATCTATAACAGGAACAGTCAGGGGGAAACGTTAAACACATCAAATCTGATACTGAATTCTATATCATATTACCTCTTGTGTAACCAAGACAAAAATTGTTATGGTTCATAATGAAAGTTTATTTTTCAATAATAACAATAATACTGTGGTTACAGTCAGTATAGTGCTTTTCACATTGGGTTGATGTCCCAAAGAGTTTCACAGGATATACTGTAAAGTGGATTGACTGTGAAGCACTTTGGGACATTTTCCTGACATGAAGTCACTCTATACATGTAAATCGTACTGTGATTATCATAACTCTCATCCAGAAATCTTAAGAAATGCCACAAATTAAACACAGTTATATATTTTACACACATATACACAATGTCTGCTGATGGAGCTTATTTACTGCTCTGGTACCTCCTGTATGAATACTAAAAGCAGCAATTCTGAAGCTGGTATTGACACAGACACAAGGACATCCATGAGAGGAACAACATAAGAACTCACAGGCAAAGTTACGGTCAGTACCTCTCTGACTAGCTCATCCTCTATAGGTCATCGTGTCACTGATAAAGGTTTAATGTAAATGTTAATTATTAATATAACACAACCATTCAAACCAAATGATTGTGGATTACATGAATAAAATCTACTCTCTCTCCCTCTGGAGATACAACTGATATTAACTATATAATTAACAATAGGATCCTTGATTTAGTTACTTTCACTGTGCAGTATCATAATAATCTTTACATTTGGTAATATGCCTTTTACATGGGGAGGACATCTCAAAGCATCTCACAGGATATACTGTAAAATGTAGTGACAATGTGTATTTTGTGGGCAAATGCAGCAGCCGATTTATACACAACAATGTTCCCCACAAACAACTATGGCCAATTTTACTTGGGTGATTGTTGGCTAGGACACTGGGAGAATATCCTTTCTCTTTTCAAATAGTGGCATGGGATCTTAAATACCCACCTGATGGGACCTCGGGTTAATGTCTCGTCTGAAGTACCTCCAATAACGCAGTGGATACCAACACTGAAATGGAGTGTCAGCCTAGTGAATTTGTGAATTCAAAGTCTTGACATGGAACTCGATCCCACAACCTTCTGACTTGGGGGTGAGAGTCAGTCTGATCCCCTTTGCTTTCCAATGGACAGCGCTCTGAGACGCCATCCGGCGTGGAGGGCGCTATATAAAGTTATTGTTGTTGTTGTTGGACAGCTTTTGTTTTAGACAGGTTCCTGTGGGATTCACCCACAGGTCAAAGGATTTGTTTCTTTTTAATCTCGAGCAAATATTCAGATAAGGAGTTTGTGGTCAGGGGGAAAAGAAATGTCATTTGCTCAGTCTTTTATAAATTGTCATTAAAAGCCTCTCCAAGGAGCAACCAAGAGGAAATGACTATCGTTTCATGGGTGCCAGCCCCTCCAGTACTTCTCCCAATTGTCATACTTCTGGTGCAATGTTATTTGATTGGAGGGTGGGGGAGAGAGAGGAGGCTAGAGAAGGTTAAGCCCATCTTGTATACTCAAGCACACTGCCAGTAGCAGGGGACGCTGAATAATAATAAGAAGCAGCATGGCAAGCTGATGTTTCCTCTCGCTCGACCAGGAGCACCGAGGTCAAGATCAATTCCTTTTTTCAATAGAAAATTTTCCTCTCTCTTGTTATGAACAGGTTAAGACGTCTCCCCGTGCTCTTGAGCCTCTGCCAATGCTGACCTGGACTTGCAAACAGAGCTGAGTTCAGCACAACCCCTGGTGGGTTTCCCTCCTCTGGTGTAGTGACCAGCCTCCAGTTCACGCATAATAATTCATAATATTTGAATTAGTCCCCTATCATGTCTCTGAGATGCCTCAAACTCACATTTTGTCACACATCCTGACAAAAGCATGGCTGAAATGCAGAACGACAGGCACTACTGTGGTGCGACAGCTTTGAGAGACAGCAATGAGCACAGGACTGAGCTTTAGGGCACGTGTAGCCCATGGTGTATAACTCTCGATTCAGGTTAGGAATCATTTATAGAATACTTCACACAACAACCACAACAACAGCATCTGAGTTATCAGTGTTCCTAAGTAAACGGAAATTCATTGTAAAACTTATAATAAAAGAAAATAATCTTTCCAATCATCAACACATGCTGGAGTAGGAAGTGGCCGTGCTGGTGGTTAAACGGTCTCATTCAAAAAAAAGTTTGCAACCCATGTAAATAGCGTAACTGGCAAATGATTTAAACATTTGAGAATTTCATTGAGCAAGTGGCTGTGCTGCTGTATTATTAGCAATGGAGGAGGGTAAAGCAAAGCAAAAAAGGAAGCAAGAACATCCTGATGAATTTTAAAATGCTGAACAGCTGGTCAGGAAGCGACTTTATTTGCCTGGTTATCTCTATTGGTTTAGCAGGATATCCTTGCTGTATTGTGCTGAATGAAGCAAAAGCAAGGGTTCCATTTGATGAACGGGAATGCCCTATTGTTTTGCCCTTTTTTTAATAAATACACAACTTGCATCTGTCAGATCTGTACCACATGCTTCCAAGCTTAAGACTCCAGGCTTTTGAAGAAACTAAACATTTCATAATATGAACAAGGAAGAGGAACAGCACAAAAAATGGGAGGAGGGGTGGGGGAGAAGGTAAGGAAGAGTTGAAAAGTTAAAGAACCTGTCCTTCAGTGCTGGTGCCAAGGGATATGTAAAGTCTAAAGTCATGTTCTACATTTAACCAAATACAATAAGGGCCTATTATAAAAATACAAAATAATGCTCCTCACACCACGAGTCTAGAAGATAATAATAATCCTTGCATTTGATATAGCGCCTTATCACATCTTTGAGATGTCTCAAAACACTTCACAGAATATACTGCAAAGTCAATTGACTATATTTTATGGGCGAAACTCGGCAGCCAATTGTGCTCAGCAGTATCCCACAAACGGTCGTGGATTGAGTGGCCAATTTATCTATTTTTGAAGGGATTGTTACCCCCAGAAAAGTGATCTGCCAATCAAGTAACAACCGTGTTCCTGCATACTGCTAGGTGAACAGAGGCGTGTGGAGTAAGGAAACTTGCCCAACGTTTTGCCCTGCCAGGAATCGAACCTAGGTCCCCTGCAAGTGCTCTAACTACTGAGCTACAGGACTCAATGATGCACAAGCTCTTGGAGCGATGATGGTCAGTTCCATTTCACAAGATCAGTTTGGAAATCATCTCCTAATTCGTAAT